CCTATTGCCTTTTTTTTTTTTTTTTAAGAAACAAATTATAAATAAGGAGAATCTCAAAATTCACTGTGTAACATAATTTTATTTTACAGACTGGACTGCATGAGTTCTGACAGCTTAACTTAATGCATAGCTTAATTTTATGTTAGGAAAAAATTAACAGGAGCATATGCATCACAATACAATCTGCCCCCTATTTGTTTCAACATGGATCTAGCAATGCTATTGGTATCTAGCTGGTTGGAAGTTCTGGTTATTCAATACATTGATCTTCCAGGTAATCATTTCTTGTATGGTTTCTATGGATTTATTTACAACTGATCTCTTCATGTCCAGTGTATATCTCCATTGTGAGAAGGGAATGAATGTGGAGTATTGTCTTGGATTTAGGTACCATTCATTAATTTTCCTGTATGTGAACTCACAAAAATCATTCTTTCTTCAGGAAAGATAGAAAATTGTCAGTTTCCTAAGCATTTCAAACAATTTTGGAAGTTTTTTGTTTTTTTTTTCTGTGAATGAGAACACAAATTAGAAATTCAGCAAATCACTCTGCTCTCAGAATCTCCATTGTAGGCAGCTGTCAGCACAGTTCCTTCATAACAGCAATGTAAGAGTCTACTTTTCTGCAATACCTCTTTTCAGCACAGCAGTAGCTGAACAGTACCAAAATGAAGTACAGAAGAATATATCAGGTTTGTTTTTTTTTTTCATTAAATGAACTGCCTATGTTCATTCATTCTCCAGTAATAGAGGTTGCTGATCTAGTATTAAAGTGTTTGCAATAATATGGTATTTTAACCTTTCCTAATCTATTTCTTTTCTTTTTAAATGAACATATGAACACAACTGAAATTTAGCTAATTATCTTAAGGGGTTGTCTTGTTGTCTCATTTAAAGAAGAGATGACTAAGGACAAAAGAACTAAGTGCATATAGAAAGCTAATTTGGAGTAGGGGATGAGCAGATCAGTTAATTTCTGATCTACACATAATTACAAACTGTGTTCAGTTTGCAAATTAGATAGAAGTTTCAGATTGACACTTTCCAGTGAACATTTGTCAGTGACATACAATTGGCTACAACTGCCAATAATGCAGGAAAAAGTCTGAAATAAATAGCATATAATTCAGACTGACATCTCAGAGAAAAAGGGTTACTTATGCAGTACTTGTGAATTTCTGTCTTTTTTCACAGTTTTGTGGAAAATAATTAGTAGAAATTGTATTAAAATTCTAAATAGGCTGTGAAAATAATTAAAAGGACACAGCCTTTGTGAATACACTTGTTACATTAAATACATTAAAATCAATAATCTATATAACAAAGTTCATATTCTTGCCACTGCTTTATTCATAACTGTAAAAGTTATCTGCAAGACCAACAACCAGTTCTTAAGAAGCAAGATTAAGACTGATGAAAACTGCTCAGAGGAAATACAAGACTTAAGCCACTAAATTCTGCTCTCCTGCTTACAGTTAATAATCATCACATAGAGTTGAGGTGCCCTCTATGTGACAATGAAGAAGAACAAATCATTCTATAACAGAATTGCATTAACTGAAAAAAAGATCATGCAGTTCAGCTTTTGTTTGGCTGGTGTTCTTGACATATGGGCTTGTATTTTGAACTAGGGAAAGCATAGACATGACTGCAATTTTTTATTTTTTTTTTTTTACAGTGTTTAAAAAAATATCAGAAAGGACTTATATCCTCCATGGACTCTAGAGGCTCTGCTGTTTATTTACAGAGCTGTGTATGATGGAAAACTGAAGTAGTCATATGTCACTAGTGATATGGTAGATGCATAACAAATTTACCTTTTAATTGAAACATTCACAAAGGAAAAGTATTTAACATTTAAGAGAATTATTTACTAAGAACAATAAGAAAACAGTAACAACCATGTGTTAAACCACTTTATAGAGGCCAAATAACAGATGAAAGGCATCTAAAATCTGCAGAGCTCAGTGATTCTCCCCATCTTCAGCATTACCAGGTAAGTTTTAAAATGGCACATGAGAAATTACACAACAGATTTTAACCCATTATCCATTCTCATATGCATTCATCACTTTGGGAGACTGCTACAGTTTTGGAGCTAAGGACTGGTCCTGTAGACTGTAAAAGGTGACTAGGATGTAGGAGGAGTAATTCAGTGCTTAGCAGTTTGGAGCTTTCGTCCCCCTCCCTCCACTTGTCCATTTACCAATCTCTTTTGCCCCTTCAGTCTTTCCAACATTGGACCTCCACTTTAAAATCGGATTGATGTTCTTCATTTTCTTAATGTATGCAAAGTAGACACTGCCGCTTACCTGGCTAATGCTTTGAGTCAATTCTACATACCCTTTTTCATAAATGTTCCCATATTAGCTTTCTTAACCAGGCAAAATACTAGTAATTAATTTAGTGTGAATTTCCTTTCAAAGCAACAATTTTGTATACAAGTAACTATGAATATAATACTGTTAATGAAAGTTTATTTTATGTAGTTGTTAAAGTCTTCTGAAGAAAATAAATGTGGGCTACATTTTATAGAAAGGCCAAGATTTGCCTTTATTTCTTGTCCAAAAGTAGCCAAAGTATAATCTTTCTCTTCCACCTTTGATACCATGGGAAATGAAGCACAAACCACTTCCCAACTGTTCAGGTTTCATTTAAATGAAAGAAGGGAAGGAGGAGAAAAACTGACTAAATTTGATCATTATTAATGAGATAGTAATACTTGTTACATCTAAACGTATCAAGAGAGTAAATCCGAAATGAACTAAGAAATAAGTTCACCAGAAAAATGGGCTTAAAACATGTCTTATTGCTCATGTCACAGATATTATATTGACATTAAAACCTGCTTTTTACATTCTGAAGAATTAAAGCTGGAAATTAAGGCTAGAGTTGTGAGTATACTTTAAGTATTTGCACACTTTAGCTAAATATGGATCAAGATCAAAGTTTCTATAGTCTAGCCAGTTCACATGTAGCAAATGCAAACTTGAAAACATTTGAGGATGTATATGCTCTGTTTCAGGGTTACATAAATTATTGGTCTTAATCTGCAACCTTTCTAAAATGGATTTCACTCTAAGAAAAAATATGAATGTCATAAATATGAATAACTGAGGTAAAACCTACAGATCCCAAACCCACAGTTTTATATAGGCCTTCATACTGCAGACACAATTGTAGCTTTCTGGGTAGTTTTTAATTTCACAAACACTTACACTGCCTAGCTAGTATACGCATTTGTCTTCAGTATTTATGTTGGAATTATATTTGTTAGAGCAGTACATACCTTCTAGACAGTTCATTTTAGGACAATTATTGTACTACTGACACCGTTAATATTTTTCAGTTTTTGGCCTATTGTGTTCTTATATTACCTAAGCTAATTATGATTACTTAGAAAGTGATGAAAGCACAATATTGCCATATGCATGCATCTAGCAGATTAAAATTGCCATATATGAAATGAAAAGTTTAGCTCATAAGGATACTAATATACTCTGCACAGTTCTTTCATTTACCATTTAGCTGATAATCTTATGGTATGGTTTTATGATAGACTATATTAAAAATATTTTAAGTAATTGTGGTACAAATTAGATAAAAATTGGGGGGGTAGGTGGTAGCATCTAATTTTAAACTTGAAACAGAAGTCTTGGTTTCTGTCTAGCCCTAATATTAAGGCTCCAGAAGGAATAAACAGACATCTATTAATTAATAGCACCTTCTGGATTTTGTCGCAGCTGTTATTACCATTTCATTATGTCCCCTAGGATGGATTAGTTTATATATATATGTATATATATATATATCTTTAAAAGTAACAGGATTCAGCAAGATAATTATGGAGTCAACAGTTATGGTCACAGCTTTACAATTAAGCAACTTTCTTTGTTTTCCAGTAATATCAGGGACTCAGTGTTTCTGTCAGAATATCTTCTTCAGAATTACAAAAAAAAACCATGGCCATAATAGAAGGTACTTTCTGAGAATTTATAAAGTTATGAGTTTAAATGAAGATAAACAAATTATGCAGCTGTTCATCAGGTACCAGGTACTTCATTTTTCTTGTATAATATTTGTACAGGACACTCATTAAACTTCCTGTGTGACTAAAACTTGTGAAATTTGTGAAATACATTTGATTTTTAAAGGTATTTTTTCTTGCCATTATTTTATCTTGCTGTATCATTCTATTTCCTCTTTCTCAGATCCTAATGTTCTACTAGAGAAAATAACAGTCAGCTCAGGTCTCGTTCAAAATGACTGATGATTCTCATTTATGTGAATGGAACAGAGGCACTTCGTTCCTATCAAAATGGCAACTGTCTCTATTGTGCTCTAGCTGAAGGAATCCTGGCCATGACAGTCATGCTGAAGTAGGACAAGTCCTCATGAGTTGCTCAATAAGCAATTATTTTAAGAAACAACCCTTAAAAGCAAATAAGCATTAAGTTACAGAAAATAATGACAGGTTTTACAGGATTTTTTTTAATGCCTTATGTTAAGAGGCCTAGTTATCAAATAAGATAGCCAATGCCACCACCGTGATGACAGAACAAAACCACAGATTTTAAATTATTTCAGTTCTATTCTAAAAGTATAGACACAATTATTTATTCATCATACTCACAAATTATAATAAATATAAAGAGCAGAATCCGTTTTCTATACTTTTATCATGTACTCTTCTATCTGTTCTCTTTGGCTTTCTTTACTGCTAACTGAATCTTCTGAGCTAACAGTGAGTATGCTGAGGATATTTACACATTCCTGTAGTGCTTTTTACCAATGTAAGCATTATACATTCTCAATGGTAATTTCATTCCATTTTAATTGCAGAAATTATAAAGTGCTTTTTATGTACTTTTAAAAAGAAATAGAAATCACTATGATATAAAGCTATCAATTTTTCATTTTCAAAGATAATTTCTGATCTGGGGATTCATACAACGAATCAATTACTTCATCCTCAGAAATACTGATATACTGACACATACCTTGACTTTTTCTAAGTGATCCTGCAGAGAGTCAATTAGCAGATCCCCTACTGGCTGCCAGGATCCCTTGAACACTTCAGCTTGGCGTAGTTTTAGGTCCACTTCATCCATCGCCTCTTGAAGGCCCTCCAATCTTTCAAGAGCGTCATCTATCTTCTTCTGCCAATCAGCAGACTGTAGATTCAGCTTATCCCACTCAGTTCTGACCTCATCTGCTTGCCTTTGGAGAAGTTTTGTGACATTATGGGCCCTTTCCTCAGGTGGCAGCTCTAAATGTAAAAATTAAGAGGCTTTTAAAACATATTCCATCTTAGATGAAAAATAATTGCCATTTGGGTAAGTTCAAAGCTCAATAAGAAACTGTTCATAACCAAAGACTCCTTTGAAATTTATTTTGTTTATCTGTTCTTGTTTGAAAGTCTCTTAACAAATTTAAATCTTGACACCATACAGATCACAAAAATATACATTTAACCATATAAAGGCATTTTTAAACATGCAAGGTGTAGCTAAAAGTTTGTAAACTGTGTCCTGAAAAATAGTTCTGTGCATACATAAATATTAATCACTGGGAATCTTTTGCTGCAACTGAGTAAATTTGGGAGTATCTGTAGTACTGAGACTACAGTTGAATTTTAAGTTAAATTGCAGCTTTCAGACCTCAAATGGGCCTACAGTTATAGACAGGTCATGAAGGTTTAAAGTCAGTTTCAAAATCTGCTTCTAAATATGCATGTCTATTTAGTGCCACAGTGCTCAGAAGGATTGCTAAGGGTTTCTTTCATCTATATTTTTTGCTTAGTCTCTGAATACTGACATTCAGCTTGGAGTGTAAATGGAATGCTTTCACAGTGGCTGGCAGAATTTATTTAATCAACTCTGACCATCACTGATCTTTCCAGCAATGTGTCATTACCCTCTTTCTTCAATTACCTCTTGGTTCTGGGTAGAGCTTCTCCAGTCCCTCCACAGGCTGCTCTGCTAAGAGGATTTGCACAGTCTCAAGCGCACTCCTGATAACAGGTTCTTTTGTTTTCAGCTCCCTCTTGAAAGTCTGAGAGACGAAACAAAAGTATTGTAAGTGGATATATAATGAAATACCAAGTGCTGTCCCTTTTTTCATCAATTTTAGAACAAAATTTCCAACAACTTCCATGTATATTACAAGTAGCTACCAAAAAAATGTAAAAGAGATAATCAGCTTTTGCTTAACCTAAAATCACATTATATTCAAATGAGCAAATCTACTGCCAGTATACTGCAAAGCACTCAAGGTTGCTGATCAAATTTTCACTGTAAGAGGGATCCCTTTTGTTGATTTGTCAGCCAACTCCAAAACTAAGCTCCATGGTGCAAAGCTTTTGCTGGCTGTGTATTGGACCACACCAACATAGCTAAGAGCTCTTGAAAGCAAGATTTACCACATTGTGAAGGTAAATGCAATGTGTTTCATGGCTACCTACCACTTTGCTACTGCTGCTGGCAACTGTTTAATCATATGAAAAAAAAAAAAAGAAAAAAAGGACCAAAGGATATTCACATCTTAACCTGTAACAATCAGTAACGAAAAAAAAAACAAACAAAACAACAAAACCCCACCGCGTTACAATATAATAAATTGTAGCACTCTTTTCTAGTGTTAGTGTAGATACATGTCCTCCAAAATTACATGAACTGAGATGTTTGACATGCAGAATCAAGGCCAAGGTGAAAGTTCAGAAATACAATCTAGCCTAGATGAAGGCATGCATGAGTAAAAATTAAAGAGCAGAAATTAGTTCTTATGAAATAGATAATTCCTAGTTACTTTAATCAGTACTTATTATCAATTCCCATATCTTTAACATTGCTTGGTGATGTGATGTATTCTGCTCCTTTTCAGATCAACTGTATTTCTCCCTTTTACCTCTTCCTTTCCTGTAATGTTTTTTGGCACCTGTCTCCTTTCTTGCCTTTTCTTCCTCTTTCCTGTTCACATTTTCCTTCATCCAGCAACAGCTCCATTTACTACCTCTCTCATATTCCCTGCTTTTAAAATGACTGTGAGGAAGACTCTCAAGGTTGGTATTTAAAGTTTTGGCAGTCTACTGAAAGTACACATATCTCCGTGGTTTTGGTTTTTGGGTTCCTTTGTTTGGTTGTTTGGTTTTGTTTGGGTTTTGATTGTTTGTTGGTTTTGGTTTTTATTTGTGTTGTTTTGTTTTTTTTTTTCCTTAGGGAGAATTTAAGATTCCTTTGATCTGAATTCAGATGTTCACCACATAGAAATGCAGATGAAACCTGGCCTGTGGGTTGGTTGCATGTTGCACTGGGTCTTTTACATGTTGTATTGGATTTACCTAAATGGTCCTTAAACACTGTTTTATTTCAACATTTTCTTCTCTATTTATAAAACAATATTGAATGCATAGTGTTTTCAAGTAACACAGAGGTAAATATGTAGATAATTATAGTACAGTGTAACACAAAACAAAACACTGAAAAAAGAAGAGACATATGCCATGAGTGAAAAACAGACATTTTACTCCAGGGATTAGAAAATTCTTTATAAAGCACAGGCATTACATAGACTTCTAACATAATAAATTCACCAATTAAATTAAATTAACTATTAAACAAAATTTGGGCTTCTATGTAAACTAATGAAAAATTATAAATTCAATATTAAAAGTTCATTACACTTTGAATTATATTTGATTTGAAATGCTTTGTACAGGAAACACCTAACGGAACTATTAATGAGAATCATACCTGCAGTGTATGATATGAGCACTCACAGGTAAAAAATTCTTAATACATTTCAGGGAAGTAAACTTAAGGGAATGACTGTTATTCTACTACAAATATTTAAAAATCTTTTCATTAAGAGGCCAAGAACTGACCATAATGTTTGTGACTGTGAATTGGTAAAACCCTTTAGCATACTGCATTCCACAAGGTGTGTGAGCAGGAATCGTACCTATCTTCTCAAAACAACAGAGAAACACAAATGAGAACATTCTGACTTTGTGTATTTTGCATTTAGTCACAAACAGAGAATCTCCTTCTCACTTATTAAAGGATAACTCACTTATTAAAGGAGCTACTGTGTTAAACGTTTTCCAGCTTTTCCATTCTGGAGCTGGCTGATGCGATTATAGTCTGTAAACCCTGAGATTTAAAATAGTACACAGTATGGTTTTGGGACCTATTTACAGTTTTCAATGCCTTCTCTAGTTTTGATCTGCAGACTTCTACTAAGTTAAAATAAGTTTCATTATAAGAAATTTAAAAAGGAGGAAATAAAAACATGAGGCTACAGCGTAGCACAAAACAGCATTAAAAATAATGAATGCTCATTTCATACTATCCCACTCCAAAAAGGTTCTTACTGTACGAAGCCAGCTTTTCTGATTAAAGTTTTGTTGTGAAATACGTACATCCTACTAACAAAAATCATAAATAGCAATAAATGACATCTTCTTTTTTTTTTGGGGAAAATAATAATAAAAAAAAAATCTGGAGCCCTGAAAAATACATCTTGACATTAAGCAGAATATCACTGAAAGCAGAATTAGCCTAAATAAATGTCTAATTTACAGCTAATGATTTCAGGCTAATTTAATTGAATTCCTTAACTTCTTCCACACTTCGTAGTGACTGTAGAGGAAATCGAATGCGCATAATGTATGACCTGACAAAAAAAAAAAGTAAACTACTTTATTTAAGCATCTCTATTTGTCATCAACACTGCAGCAGTAATGGCATGCTTCCCACCATTTAAATAATGCATATATTGATTAGCTTATCTCAGACCTCCACTGCCTCCTCATGGGTGTCCCTAAATCTCTTTAGATGGAGAAACACAGGTTGTTTAAATCGAATGATGAAAACGCAATGAGAGGTGCATTAGTAAAGCTTACATTAATCTCTGTTATTAGAATAGCTGATATTTATTGCTTTTAATGAATTTTAAAGAGAAAGAGTGCAATTAAATTAACTCAAGATGTTTTGCAACTAGAATGCTTTTTAAAAATTGGGGTTTACTTCAGTTTTACATTCCATTGTGCCACCAGAAAAAGTTGAAGCAGGAATTGTACTGTTCAGGCACTGTTGTTATAGATGTGAAAGGGTTTCCAGGGAATTATATATTTATGAATCTATATTCATTCATTTATGAATCTATAATCATAAATGCGGTTTATGCTGTTAATACAATCATACACAGCAGACATGGTGGCTCTTCAAAGAATGAAAGTAAAAGCAGGCTATCTGTGTGATGCCTAAGTTACTTAACTTAGATTAACTGTAACATGTACACAGTTATTAATATGATTTTAATAAAACATTATTATTATGCTTAGTAAAGCAACAAAAACTGCAAGATAATTAAATAATGTTTTGATAAACAGCAGCATTTTTATCATTGACTAACACCCCAACACATACAAATACATTCTAAGACTTTGGCATAGACACAATTTCTTCAGATGCCAAAAACTGACAAAATGACCCACACTACACATAAGTTCAAAGAAAAAGCAGTTATGTGGGTGTGTTTAGGATAAATTCCAAATTGCCTTGTCTAAAAATCACCTCACATTTATAACGTAACAGTGATTGCACTGATATCTCTTTTCTCAGTTGAGTCCAAGCTCTCCTCTGGCATAGATTCAAGCACTTGAAATCTTCATCTAAATCTTACTCTTATAATTTTTAAAGCCAACCTTGGCAAATAGAAGTATTCCAATGATAAGAAACAACTTTTCATCTCTGCAATGAAAGTCTGAGGCATTCCAGTTGGCCTTGTAAATTATAGAGAGGTTAAACATGTTTGTTTTTTTTCTTTAAATTACATTTTTAAGGGGAAAAATATAATAAAATCAGTTTGTAACACCACTTTAGAAAAAGGATTCAGGCATAAAATCATATTTGCATTCATCATGCCATTTCTCAAGAGCGGTCAGTTAAAATGCTTATAAATAATGTTCCCCTGCTGAGGCTTTTTCTTTTCTCTAATGTAGAATTTACCCAGGCTCGCTTCTGGCTTTACCTGGCAAAAACAATCCTTCACAGAAGGAAAGGTGTTATACTGATATATAAGACCAAAGTTGGAAGTTTGGGTCTTTTAAAAGATTGGTCACATAAGGTAGAGACTTAAATTGTTTACTGAAGACTGATTTTCGGAACAGACATTCAGGAGAATAAAATGAACAGTCAGGTGATTCTTTTTCTCAAGAACAAAATTCAACTACTCTTCATTTTCACATCCAACACTGAGAGCTAAGTTCTGTTCTTAAGCAGGGGTCCAAAACTCTTGGAAAAGACGAGATTTTCAGTGCTGTATTCTAGTTTTAAGGTAGGTAGTTCAGCACTTGTGGTACAAGCCTTTTTAGAAGCATTTTTTCTTATGTTCAGAAATAAGCTAAGCTGTTCATTCAGATACAACCTTTTAATGTCTGTTTTATAAAAGAAACTTTAAGAGAAAGTCCACAGTGTCCAGGGACAAAAAACCCACCCCAAAACCAGTTTAAAACCTCCAAGTTGCAAACACAGATTTTCACAAAGACAACCTGAAGTCGACAGAGTTTTGCACTGGCTGTTTTTCCTTTCTTCTGTGCAAGAAATATTTGAAGAGCAGACAGGGTAACCTAATTTCATGGATTATGTTTTGTTCTCTTTTCACAGGGAATCAGAATAGCTACAACTAGAAAGGCCTTACATTAAACTAGTGAAGTGCTGTAGAACAGGAAAAGAAAAGAAGCCATATTTCTAAAAGGAACTAAAATGTTCTAGCTTTGACGAGACTATAGATTTGTGTCTGTATGTATCAGCATGGGGCAGAGAAGATGATCAAAAGGAAGTTAGAAGAAGATCTATTTTTTAAAGTCACTTTGCATATATTCATGGTACCTTTTATGCAACACTTCTCATCTCTAAAAGTTCTAAGCAATTCCATTGATTGGTGAGTGACAGAGAGATCACTTAGTCCATTACTGAAGGCTTGACATCTTTATGATGAATTCTGGGAAACTTTCAAATAGCTTATAGAACAATATCAAATATTAACATTTTATGAGAAACAATCTAGATTTAAAAAAATCTTTCTTTGATCTAAGAGGAAAGATAATGTTTTCAGACACTCAAATATTGTTCAGATGACAAAAATTTTGTAGTAACAATCTTACACAAATCTTTCTCCAAGTCTTGCTTTGGCTCAAGAGTTGTCTTTGAATAAGGGGTTTGAGTTAATATCATGCCGTTTTAAAGCAACATCTACATTGTTTCTTTCATCCTGATGGGCTTAAAACTCCTTTATAGAAGTTGCTAAAGACACCTGGCTAGAACAGAGACCTTAGGCATTTCATATATCTTAACTTTCATGGAAGGAAAGGTAAAAAGGGTTGGTGGTGCTCCATAAGTCATGGATCTCTTGGCCTCACTGTTTCTGTGATAAATGCTTGAAGTCCCAAGTAAAGTTTAGTGAGAAAGACACATTCAACACATCACTTCTCCAAAAGGAAGACCTAGGAAATATGACCAAGCTGTGCCTTGCAGCAAAGCATTATATTATAGATTCATAGTACAGTTAGGGTTGGAAAAGACCTCAAGATCATCTAGCTCCAACTCCCCTGCCATGGGCAGGGACACCTCACACTAAACCATATCACCCAAGGCTCTGTCTAACCCAGCCTTGAACACCACTAGGGACTGAGCATTAACAACTTCCTTGGGCAACCCATTCCAGTGCCTCACCACCCTCACCGTAAAGAACTTCTTCCTTATATCTAATCTATTATCTTAAAAAAGCATTGTGCACTGACAGCAAAATGGTTTTTGTTCATATTTCTCTTTGGCTTTCTCAGCCATTAGGTAAAAGACAGGCCCCTGAAAAACCATACTGTCACCAACTCCCATCAGTCTGCTACATGCTGAAGCTGGGTGTGCTTTCTCAATTACCTTTCACATGGTTCCCTGTTCCTTCACAGAAGAGTTTCCCCACTTACTGTTTCATTCAGCAATTTTTCACCTTTATGTTTGCAGGACACCAGATTGCTAATGGGTTTCCTTATGGCACCACTAAAAAGCAGCCACTGAGGTACTAGAACTGTGATTTCATATTCAGACATGAACAGACTGAAATGGCATAGCAAATTATAAGCTATTTGCCTGAAAGCAGACAGTAAGTTCACATCAGACAGATGTGAACTTGACTGAACACATGAAACACACTTAAAGTATAACTTTACTACAAAAAAAACCCAACTGTGTGAATCTTTGTATGAAGAATTTTTCAGCAGTATTGTGTTATTTTGTTTTTTTTCCACTTGGTGGCTTTAAAAAAATGCCACAACTTCCCATATAAGTGTTGGATTTGGGTTCCTTTTTACTACATAGCTTAGTCCAGAACAGTCCCCATACAATGCTCTGCTATTGCCTTTCCATAAGAATTTCCTGATGAAACTAGTTTGATCCATAGATAATTACAGTCAGTTATCACAGTTGGTTCAGGGTGCACACAGTTGTGCATTAGAGCTGGTATCAACTATTTTTTTCACAGAAGTTCCCAAAACCAGTATAAAAATAGGGTTTCAAAACTAATTCAAAACAAAATTAAACATTAAGTTTCAATGCCTGATCTAGAAAAATTATCAGAACTAATTATTTAACCCTCAAATAATATTAAGTTATTACTTGTTCTGGCCATGAAAACTAGCTGTTTTGTGATAGGTCTATGAAACAGCTGGTAGCAAACTCTCCCTTCTCCAAAAGGCTGACTTTCTAAACTGTGTTTCAAAATCATAGCTACTACTCTTAAGCAAGTTCAGTTTTAATTGTTTCTAAAACATATTTTGAAGTGTATCTTGCTTTTCCCAATAAGGACAGTTTCATGCAACACTAACCTGCAAAACAAAAAGCAGTGACTGAAAGATCTTTTAAAAAAAACCATACCCTGTGAATATCATTCTGTTTCTGCACAGTGGGAAGATCTCCACCAATGGGTGCTTGCTGCTTTAATTCATCCTCCTTCAATTGCAGCCATGCCAAAAGTTCCTGAAGAGAGAGATGTAAACGCTTCCACTGGTCTGTACTGGCTTCCAAATGGGATCTGAAAGCATGTATTTAATATAAGATATATTCAAAAACAGTGATAATAAAAACCTAATAGTACAAGCTTATTTACTGAGAAAGATCTTAGTGGTTCATTAACTTAATGATTTTTAAATAGCTTCTGTAGCTTTGAATTAGTTTCTGGCAACACAGATTTAAATTTGGTTCCACAGTCCTGGCCTGAAACATCTGTTCTTTTCCCATGTCTCTGTTTCTTGTTTGTTTCTTGTTTGTTTGGGGTTTTTTAAATTTAGTTTTCCTCTTCAGCAGTGCTGAATTGTCCATCTCACTAAAGGTGCACAAATATTATGTAGGACTAGCACGGAAGTAACTTAATCATCCCTGAGGATTACTAGGAGATTAATTAACTAACGTTTCAACTCAGAAAAGAGCAAGCTTTTTTCTAAACCACCACACCAGTGATTCAAACACACACAAGATTAATGTTCACATTCTAGGTAAAAGAACCAATTCCATCCTTTCCCAAAAAAGTCACGAGGAAATTGTTAAAGCTGATAGAATCCCTTTACACTACCAAAATGTTTGTGCCATTTGAACACAGGTGTGAATAAAACTAATTGAATCATTGGAAAAATTAAAAGACAGAATACTACTTCGTACAAACAAGATCTCCATCATAAGGACATCTTCTAAATATTTCCTCTGTGTATGTGTAAATGTGTCTTTTTAATACTCGGATCAAGTATTGAGCTACTAATTTTCAGCAACTGTGGAGAGAAAATATGCAACTGAAACATCATGGAACTGGTCAAATCTTCAACTTTGTTTATACCATAGATAAAGCACACTAAAATTTTGTCTTTCTAGACTTACGAATACTAATTTTTAATTGCTGTTTGGGAAGAAATTCCTAATTCTCTTCCAGTAATGCAGCAATTCAAACTGTATTTGAATCAAGAAGCTGTACTGTGTAACAGTAAAGTGATAAAATTTACAAAAGACAGATTTTCTTTTATTTAATATATTTTCTGTTTAGCTTCCAGCTTTGTTTGCATAACATTTCTCTTCTTTTTCAGTGATTGCACACAAAATCACATATTTTCTGGCAGTGAAAATTCTCCTCCTATACCCCATATAGAATGGTCTACAAAGAAATACGATAAATATGGACTCACTGTTTTGCAGACCTTATCACTTAGTTTAGATATGGAAATGAGGAATAGTTGAGGGTGAAGTCAACTGTATTTGTCTGAAATGCTCTACAGATCCTGTCTTTTTTCTAACTTCTTATACCAGGAAATTGGAGTGGCAACGAAAGAGAAAGGAAAGGGACAGATTAACTGTAGGTTGACAGAAAGCTCAGCTGCTCTGGTATGTGAGCTCATGGAAAATTTTCTTCTTTTTTTAAACTTAAAGGCTATGTGGGAGGGACACACATAGACCATGCTGTCTTTTGATCTCTGTTCTCACAGGGCAGCTGTGAGCTGGGGAAAAACTGCCTCACATCACACACTGCTTGGGGAGGTCAGCCCTGCAGGCAATGAAGGCTGGGGAAGCTTCAGGATGCCTCTGAAAGCATCAAGGGGGGAAGAGAGGTAGAGATGTGGCATGGGGAGTTGCAGGAGGTAACAACCAGAGCAAGGACCACAGAGCTTTTGGAGTGGATGCAGTCAAGGAGCAAAAATTCTGAAGCAGGTTAATTCCTGTCTCTCAAGTTTATTCAGTAAAAGCAAGCTTTTACCTTCTCCAGAGAAGGGCAGCAATTGGAAACACTAGAGTTCTCACTTTCTTCCCTGCTTCCCCAGTTATGGCTTTACATGGTAAAAGTGCAAAAAGTGACCCAAAGTGGTTTTGTTACTGCTACTGTGCTTTGATGACTCCCAGTTTGGTGAGTGTTTTCCTGGAACTCATCTTGTTCTGCCCTTCCTTCAGCTTTGGGAATATATGTTTACATATGTGCATGCTAGTATACATTCTATGCATACACTCTAAACTCATATGAGTGCATACACTCATCTACTCATAATTGTGTTCAAGCATGTGCAGACAAAACAGATAATAGAAATATTTTTTTTTAAATGAGTTATTTATAAGAAAAAAATGTTTATTAGGCTAAACTATGCTAAGTTATCCAAACAGAGGAAATGTAATAATGGAAAAGAATTTGGTTTCTCTTGATATTTACCAGACTTAGAAAAAAATGCCCACCTAATTTGAGCAATGGCATGGGTCTTCTGTTTCAGCAGTCTAGATATTAAGCTACATAAAGAAATTTGTGAAACTGATGCCTGGGGAACATTTAAAATGTCTACTCTTATATCTCCTTTGTGTAAGCATTGTGAAGTCCATACAACACCATGTGATGGGAAGAAATAGCTCCAAGCAGGTAGGCTGAGAATAGCCTGTTCATTCAGTCTGGTGCCCAGCAACATTTCAACTGAATGTCATAGAAGTTAAGAATTGTCTCTTATCATAATCAATAAGTTGTTGAACACCTTCAGCCTTTTGCAGGAAGCAAGCATGTCTGTTATTTCAAATGTTTAATGCAAGAAGTCACTGTGATACAACTAGTTACTATTTCTGATTTGACTAATGGCAGTGATACATGAAACTGCAAAAAACTGAAAGACAGAAAGTACCATATATTTAATTATTGATATTTGGCCAACTGACTGTTTTTCTTATCTCAAACATTGCTTCATTTTGTCAAGTTCACAGGTAAAAGGCATCTGAAAAAAAAAAGGGGGGGGGAGGAATGTGTCTCTTTCTTTAGCTACTAATATCTTTTCAACCTCATATCCTTCATTTATGATTAATGTTTAATGATTAATGTTATGAAGATTATTTTTGTCATTACACAGACTGCCCTCCCTCAGGGCCTAAGATGAAAAAAAGATAATAATTCACACATTACTTTGAAAAGCACTTCTGCCACTTGTTGCTCTCTGAACTACTACCAACACACAGAAAGCGAGCAAGTGAAAAAATGTCCGAGCCCAGCCAGAGCTGGGCTGCCTCCTACAAAAGACGTGTTTCTGAAAAGAAGCTTCCTGGACAATTTCTTTTGAAACAAAATCTTCAGCCCATTGAAGTCTGTACCTCCCTTTAATAATTTGTAACATTAGCATTTATTATATTTTTCTTTGGAAGCAGAATTTTTTCTCTCATGACACTACCTATGGCTAGCACATCAGCTATCAGCTTAAATAACTTATCTTCTCACTTACAAGGCTATTTTTAGTTTTGCAGCGGAAATAGTAGCCTTAGAAATAAAGCTTATCATAAATACAAGCTGTTTAATCACTTTCTTTCATGTCTTGTAGATAAGTCATACAGAGATGTAGAAAAAGCCTGCATTTAGAGGGAGTACAGTTACTGTTTAAACATCTTAATCACTCCTTCTGTAATTACAGAACCTCATCATATGCCTGAAATCCTAATCCTCTACTATCATTTTCACACCAAAAAGACCTAATCATTCTTACAGTGCTAAGCCAACATTCAAAATAGCACAAAGAAATTAAAAATGGACAAAAATAGTGCTATCAGAAGAAAATTAAACCTTTTTACTGGCAAAACGCAACATTTCATCCTACACAGCAAGTGTAGGCTTTTGTTTATATTCAGCTCCTACCTAATGTTTAGGGACTTCTTCCTAAGATCACTCCATCTGAGGTTCATGTTATCCAGGCGTCTCTGTAACAGGGCTGCATCCTCAGAGCCTTCCAGGGACCTCAGAATTTTCTGCCCATTTTCATCCAGATTGTGAAAGATGTCAGTATGAGCATCAATTTCCGCCTGTAGTTCCTATGGAAGCAATAGAAAACAATACAAGTGAGCTCTTCCAAACCCACAGAAACTATCATTTCTCAAAAAAGTGGAAAAATCCTCAGTGCAACATGGAATTAGCACAGATTTTGATTAGTGCTTTTACGTACCATTTATGATATACGTTTCCCTTTCACATGAAGGCCATTTGCACTGAATAATGATCTTTTCTGCATATGGGGTATACTGAACAAAATTTAGAAAGTTGGGAGTCTAGCCTAACAGGCAACAAAGCAAGGACAAGATATGTGGTGATGAGGGAAGAAAACCCCCAACCAAATAGAAAACCCTCAGGATCTCAGGTATATCTGACCTTCACATGATACGTCTTCCTATGCAACATTTTCAGTTTGAGCTGGGGACTGCAACACCGGTCCTGCTGCATGGAAACTCCAGGAAATCCACGCGTCTGCAGCAGCTGAGCTTTGAAATGCCAAGTTCACTTACATTCTGTTGACAGAATGCATTTTGCAGCACAGGCCTCAGCAGTCAGTAGCAATAAACAGCCACTTTGTGCTGTATCAAAACACTGGCCAGGGCCATGGCTGTAGGAGGGCCTGAGAATAGCAAGGACCTAGAATATGCAACTAGAAGCTCATGTTGAACAGCCAACTTTTCTTATCACTTTGTTACTGCGGGCTAGTTCTACATTTCAAATTCATTTTTCCCCCTCATTTTTAGCACGGCTGTTTCTGCCAAAAGAACATTCTTTAGAGAGCTGCCTGGTACCAGCATTCCTGCCTGCCCACACACTCAATGCAGCCTTTGTATGCTGGTTGCCCTTCTCCAAGATGTTTGCATGCTGCAGATCCACAAAGTGAGATTCATTCGCAAAAAATAGTGGTTGAACCAAGCTCTTTAAAAAGTATAAAAATAAAAATTTAAACGTACACACATGAGCACACATGTACTCTGTAAGTAGCCACATAGACAAAAAAGTACTTCTACTTTCAAACAAAAAAGTACACAAAGACAGAAAGAAAATGGCCTAGTAAATAAATCTCTGCATTTTCTCGTGGGAAGCTTGGGCACTAAGATCGCTGATGGTGTTTTCTTGCTGCCTGAAAATGGGAGTGCTGGGGATGAAGTGTGAAAGGGGAAATGATCTATGGCATTTGAAAACAAGACCCAGCTAACTGAGCATCACAGATAATCCCCAGTGGAAACTTGTAGTTTTCTTCAGAAGAATGACTTTGTAGGAAGGGAGCACACGACTTCCCTGCTTGGTGTGTTCCTGATTGAATTGGTTTTATTTGATATTTTAAGTGCAGTATTAGCTACACCGAATCATGAGTAGATTGTCCTTGGTCACCTATTCCTGTTCCAGCTGTCATTTGCAAATACTGAATACCTGTTTCTGGCACAGCAATAACTAGCATAGTATTTGGAGCAATTCTGAGGAGGAACATCTTTGGCACAGTACAGGAGTTCTTACCCAACTATTTTACTTTACCTATGGTCATCCCAACAGTTAAGTAGTTAGGAATGTTTGGAATACTGCAGAATGCAATTGTATTATAAATATTGTATTTATTTATTGATGTTAAATAAGCAATTTTGTTTTTAAAAAATTCCATTTAAAAAGTATATATTCATGTATAACTTTCAAAGTATGAATGCCCTTACTTGAAAATGTGTACTTAATTTCAAGCCTGAAGCTGCCAGCTTCAGCTTCCATCTGCCATATTTCATTTTTGTTTGCTTGACTGAAAAATACTGTATTACCAAATTTCTTTCTGTTCACGTATGCATTTGGAGATTTTATCTAAGCTAGGTTAAGTATCACAAATTTGATATAAACAGACAAAACAATATGTAAGAAAGGATAAAGTTTGTGGTAAAAAAGTCAACTTTTAATGTCTGTATGGGTCTAATATTTCCCCATTTAAAAGCTGATAAATCTGTTGCTGAATGAAAGAATTATAATATGAACTACCCGTCGCACAAAATTCTTAGGTTTCAGGGTGGTAATGGAAACAGCTGCCTTTTCCTCAGCAAGAACATGTGCTGTGAAACATGTACATTGAATAACTATTCACAGTAGGAAGCTGTCAAATCTATCCCCTCTTAGTGTTTTATCACACATACACTCATAGCATTTCACAACACAATTTTAAAAAAAAAATGTACTTCCCCATTTTTCTGGTTTTTAGAATAAGCATTTCATAATCTATACATTTCATGCTTTTCTCCTGACACACAGGTATTTCCAAAAATAAAATCAGGCCATTTCTTTTTTATTTCAGAATACTATATGTTATCGCAACAAATCTGGACAGTTAGTTAAATTGGCAACAAATACAAAAAGTGAAGTACTCTTATCAAAAGCTTAGTATTAAAGACCTGGTCTTCCTTATTCCAAATTACCTGTGTGTACGGTACTTTGAATGCTCTTAAATTTAGTTTATTACAGCTATGCAGGAAGTGTGCGCTGATAAAGAATCATGAGAACAGAAATATTTACTCCACTTTGGCTGGTGCATTTCAGATCCTTTCTCCTTCCTAAGAGAAGCAGAGTGCATATAGGAAAAAGACCTATATACCTTTTATTTGTTTTCTGAAATAAATAATTTCCATGTTTCAGAAATAAAGTGAAAGATTAATATGAACTTGACTAGAATAAAACAGGAAAATGTATTTCATCTCAGAAACTACTAAGTTATTTGAGGAAGTATGTTGTCATTACACATCATACCAAGAAACACATAATATAGACTAAATGTAGACTGCTTATTGCATTTTCATCTTTTCCAATGTGTCCGAACACATGAAGGAACTGTAGAGGATGAAAACTCAATCATGATATAATTCTATGGAGTTACAGTTGGACTTAAGTTGACTCTGTATGCTGCATTTTTGCTGTAGTGGTTATTACTGAGAGTGGGTGGAAATAGATTCCTTTAAAAAGAGCAGATAGTAAAATGAAAACCATCTTTTTGATCACAAGTTACTGCTTAGAGTGAGCTTCACTGCTTAGAAAGAACCATAACTCCACCACGTGCAGATTTGCCTAAGAATATCAGAGTGAAATCCTCATTTCTTAAGATGAATTATAAAGTTAGATGATAAAAGGTACTGTGATGTTTGTTTGTAGAAATCTTGCTGAATAGCTACTACAGGTTTCTACACATTAAAAATGTGTTTATATTATTATACTACATAGAAATACATTACAGAACTAAGAATGATAAAGACATGAAATAAACTCATTGTGAGAACAATCTTCATGGACAAAATAGGGCAAGGAAATTGCTCTGGCTGTTCCACTTCTGTCCAGAGCCCTTGAAACATCTACACATGATTTCAGGAAGAAGTACACTAAGGCTGTTAAGACAGCACACCTAATATGGCTACAAAGTTAGGCGTCGGATATATTTCTCATTTGCCTCAGTTCTTCCCCTTGGAACTGCTGCTAACATTGTCCATAGAAGCACACATCCTCACTGCCCTAATCCTCTTGGTAGGTAAAAGAAATTCACCTGTGGCTCCACATTTTATTTTACATGGAGCCCTGTAAAACACAGCAGAGCCATCACTGTGAAACCTAGTGCACTGAAGGTCCTGTCAGCCTTCACAGCCTTCACATAGCAGAGATAGTCCAATAAGAATACAATACGTCTTGAGATACTTTATCAGAAATAATTAATCATATCCCACATGAAATATATAGGCATGACATATAAAGGACATGCCGCATGGCAAAATCTGTCATTATTTTGGCAGTACACAAGAGAAGGATTGGTAGGCTGGAAGTAAAATGAAATCCTAGAAAGAAGGAGATAGTTACATGTATTGGGCTATACATGAGTCAGACTAAGACATGGAAATCAATGCAGCATAGATGACAAGGTAGAATCAAAATTAATTATGTAATAATTTAGAGAAATTACAAACTTAAATCCTTCTCTACAGACTCAGTTCCATCCTTTGAACTGTGCTTTTCATTTTCAGTGAAGCATTTTACGTTTTCTACATACTGTACAATGTTACTAATGAAATAAATGGCATTAATTGAGGTTTGGGGGCTTACAAAATTAAACACAGCACCATCTAATAAAGGAAATCAACACAGAGGAAAAAAAAATGAACTTTAATTAAAAAAATAAAGTCAGTCTGCATAATTAAATACATGTACTCAAAACATCAGCAAGTAATACCTATTTGGCTATACATAGTTCAGAAGTACTAGACTGTTTCTGTAATGCTAATACTGAAATAGCTAGGAAAGCTATTACTCAAAACAAGACAAAGGTCATACACCTCTATAATCCCTCTCCATCTCTGTAGTTAGGTGAAATGATCATCCCCTTCATATTTATATTAACAGAGCATATTATATTTCACCTAGATAATTTCTGGGAAAAAAAGCAAGCAAACAAACAAACAAAACCCCCAAAAACAGATTAACATTTTAATTAGCTTAAATTAGCAGCATATATTATTAAACCTCTTATACTGTACAAAATGTATGAATGATGTAATCTCCCATTTTTTTCCATTTTTTTTCTACCTTCCTTTTTATTTCCTTACCCTTTAGCTTTTCTCTTCTTTCTTCCATTCCTCACTTCCGTTCTTTTCCTGCTCTTTCTCTTTTCCTTCCACTTTTCTTTCCTTTCTCTCTTTTCCTTCCTCTACCAATTTTTCCCTTCCTCTTTCTTTTCCAATCTTACTTTACCATTCTTGTTTCCCCCTTCCTTTCCCTTTCTGCTTTTTCCTTTCTTCCTTTTTTTATCCCTCCCCCCCCTTTCCTTTTACTTCTTCTCCTTCCTCTTTTTCTTTTTCTATTTTCTTCCTTTTTCATTCCTGACTTCTCATTTTCTCCCTTCCTTTCACCCCTTTTCCCTCCCTCCCTTCTCATGCCTTTTCTTCATTCCTTTATTTAAAATACAACCTTTGCTGATTAAAAATCTTCCTTTAATGTTCTTTCATGGTGATCTCAAAACTTTGAGAATGTGGGTTTCTTGCCATTTTTATTTTGC